GGAAAAACTGGGTCACAGAAAAAAGAATCAGGAGCCAGAACAGTGGGATTGGTTCAGTGTGTGAGGGGGAGAGAGGGGGGAATGGAGGGCTCCTCCTCTCTCCGCCTTGGCTGGCTGCAGGAGCCAATGGGGCTGTGCCAAGGTTGCTGACCCCAAGAGAAGCAAGAGGCCTGGGGGATGTTACAACATTATCAATCGCCCACAGAGGCAACCAGCACTGCCCTCCAGTCCTGGGTGTGTGCTGCTGCTTCACCCTACCCCTTTCTCTCTCGGACATTCTTGTCTCTGAGCATGGTCCCTGCTCTCCAGTCCTCTCCATCAAACCTTCAGAGTCCTTTCTGCCTCCTCACTGCCTCTTGTCCCCCAGACTGTACCTCTTTGTCAAATTCTGTTTATTCCATCTCTATGCTTTGGGTAGAGGAGCATGTTGGAGACAATTCCCAGGTTGTAATCTAAGACCTGAGGACACATTTATTGTGCATCTATTTTGAGCCAGTCTCTTCTCCTCTTCCTCTTTGCCTGTTGCGCAAAATTGTGAAACCTCACTTCTGAGGGTTGTTATGAGAATCGGCAGTCCCGGAGACATGAAAAGCCTCAATCTGGTGTCATTTTCTTTCTTTTTTTAAATTTTTTTTATTAATTTCAGAGAGGAAGGGAGAGATAGAAACATTAATGATGAGAGAGAATCATTGATCAGGCACCTCCTGCAATCCACACATTGGGGATGAAGCCCACAACCCAGGCATGTACCTTGACCAGAAATTGAACAATCACCTCTGGGCTCATAGGTGAACGCTCAACCACTGAGCCACATCGGCTGAAAATCTGATGTCATTTTCTGACCTGATGAAGGCATGTGTATGAGAGACGTGTGGTGGGAAGGGCTGTTTGGAGGCCCCATGTGTATCCCCTAAGCCTACAGGTACTAAATTGGAAGCTGTAGCACATCCTTAGTTGAATGCCAGATGAGCGCAGACGGAAAGATGAAGGGATGTTGATTCTCAGCCTGGATCCTAGACTCAGCCCAAGTCAGGAGTGAAGGTGGAAATTTAATGAGTGCGTTGGTCCCTAAGCATGAAAGCACTTAGGGCACCTCTGACCTGGTGGGAGTCCTGCTCCCATTAAACCCCATGGACAAACAGTGGGGCAACCCCCAAGGTATAAGGGAGCTGTAGGGAACCATGTGTGTTTCACTTGCATTTATTTTTACTGAAGCAACATTCACATAACATGTAATTAAAATAGGAAATTCACTAGAATGCAGTAAATACACAATGTCTCAATGACAACGTCTATCTTGTTTCAATAAGATTTTAAACTCCCTCCGCCCCACCACAAAAAAAAGAAGTAAAAAATAAAAACAACACACCAAACAGTTCGTCTCCCATCTGTCCTCCTGGTCAACCCCTGACAAACCAATTGATTTCTGTTTCTATGGGTTTCTTTCTCTTGGACATTTCGCATAAAGGGAATCACACAAAAGCTGATTCCATTTTGTGTCTGGTTTCTGTCACTGAGCTGCATTATTATGAGGTTTTCCCACTATGGACCAGGTACCAGTCCTTTGTCCTTTATGGTTTAAACTAATCCCAGGGTTGTGAAGATACCTCATTTTGTTAGGATGGATGTGACCCAGCATGAAGAAGTGTATAGATGTGAATCCAAACCAGCCATGTGGTCCGGACCCTCATGTCACAGGGTGAGAACAGAAGGGCAGTGGAAGAGAATCAGCGAGGTCATGGAGGGAGGTACAGCAACCCAGGTGGATAGAGGAGGACATGACCCATGTTCTCCTGCACCCAGACCTCACCTACCACATCAACTCCCCTGGACATTCTCAACAGGCAGTTTCCCCAACAATGGTCCCAACTTTCCTTAAGCACCTCCTGGGATCTTCAGATGGGCTCCAAGGCTCCCCACTCTGAGCGGTGCATTGTTCCCTCTGTGTTCACAAACTGGCTGCATCGAGGGTCCTTATCAGGTTGTTTCGAGCCTCAAATAGCAGCACCCCAAGGACCACCAGGACTAAGCCAGCCACAACAATCCGGATAAGATTCTCCACTGTGTAGTCTTGGGGATGGAAAAATAAGAATTGTGGGTAAAGAAGTCTCAGAGGTCAGGGCAGACCCAAACCTCTAGAATTTTGATGTTCAACATGGACTCCCACCTCCCCTTGACATCAGTGTCCCTGTGATGTCTGAACTCAAAACCTACTCTAAGTCACGTTGATCAGAGTTAGCTGTGCCCAAGAACTGAGGAGGAGTAAGAAATGGTCTCAATTCAGAAATAACTAAGAGCTGTGTGTTCTGTGTTCAGTCTGAGGGTCACAACTCCATGAGCTTATTCCCCTACAACTGAGAGATCCCACGTGTTCCACAGCTGGGGACCCAGGTTTCATGGAGGAGGGGTTGGTGTTGGGGCTCCTGCATCTTAGGAGCACGAAGGTGTGAAAGTCTGGGTTGGGTCTCCTTCACCCCACCCCACCCAGGCCCCTCCTCTTATGGGTCTGATATGTCCATTGTCACCTGAAGTTGTTCATCTATTGATTCTTTTATTAACTCACCTTATTTTACAATAACAAATACCTACAGTGGTGGATATATTTGCCAGATGAAAAATATGGATATGTGGATGCTGATCATGTGATCATTTTATTTCAAAAGACAGCCAAGCTCAAAATCAAAGAAGTCCTCTGTTCTGGTTCAAATTTAAGTCACAGAGAAAATCCTCCTGATTTCAATATTTACTGAGCACCAAAAGTAGGAAATTATGTCAATCTACTACACCATCTATATATATAAAAGCCTAAGCAACTGATACAACCCAATGACCAGAACTGCAGCTAGGATGAACATGGTGTGGCACCCGACACACGCTCAGCCTCCTCCCTGGCCACATGCCACTTGGTACACTGCTATATCCCCTGCGGGGTCCTGGATTGCAAGAGAGCATAGGCCAGGCTGAGGAACCCTCCTTCTCCCTGTTCCCTCTCTGTGCCCAAATCCAGGATCGGGGCCTCTAGTTTTCATATAAAACCCAAGATATAAACAGAAATTATGGACCTCTCCTCATTATAGTGATCATGCAATAACCCTAAATCCCAGCTCCACAATTCAGAAATGCACATGGATGATCAGCGTCACTCAGTTGGGTTAATATCCAAAGAGTTGACAACAAGAAGCCTTTGTAATGTGTGTCATGTGGTTATAAGTCAGAGAAAAGATAGTTATGGGGGGATGTGTATCTGTTACAAAGAAAAGCATTCCTAGTGAACCCTAATGAAACAGAAGAACAGATTGGAACAAAGGAGCCAATAGTGCCTTTCTATAAAATGTAGAATTCTTTTTTTTATTGCTTAAAGTATTACAAAGGGTATTACATATGTGTCCTTTTTTTCTTAATGGATTTGCCTTGACATAACTTACTGTGTGAATTTAGCTGATTGCCACAGGGGAAACTCTGGAAAATTTTAATCCCTCATTTCATTGTATTAGGTGTGGAGTGAGAAAAATAGGTATGCCACTGGGAATAAAGAAGTGACATTTCCTTGGTCCTGTGGGGATTATAATTTTATCAGCATGTTGGAGGGATCAACTGAAAAACGGTCCACAGGGCAAGAGTATTTGGGAGGCTAACAGGTCATAAGATAAATATGCCCAAACCAAGAGCTTTCCTATGTGCACTTACTACCACTTAGAAAATGTACAGGAATCAAACCCCACTCACAAATTACAATATTACTTGGCAATTCTCTAAGTGGGCTGGGCATTTACTCAATTTTACAAATAGCTGTCACATGCTTCTAAAGTTCACTCATAAAGCTCATTTGAAAATGTATGTGAAAAGAAGACTTTATATAAACAAGAAGTTATTCTCCATAAAAAAAATGTATGAATTTAATCGACTCCCATTGAAAAGAAGAATAGAATGTTTATATTTCTATCTGGACTCCACATAATATAAGTTAAATTGTGAGCTTATAGACTGAAGTATTGCCTAAAGGTTCTCTAAAAGGAGAGATAACAGACCCGTGTGCACAGAGACACTGAGCAGAGGGGAATGCACAGTGTCTGGGCAGGAGGCCCCAGGTCCCCTTGCACCCTGCATGGACCCTCGTTATTCTCAGGAGAGCACTGAGGGCCTGTAGGCCTCCAGGTGAACACAGGGGGCCGTGCAGTGTGGTGCTCACAGGCAGGATGCTTCTCTATAGAGGAGTGTCCATAGGGAACTGAGACTACACGGACCCAGATTCTGAGAAGACAACAGGAGGTGAGTGGGGTGGGGGGTCTGTGTTCTCTGCTCAGTCTAATCACATTCTTGCTCATTTCACTCACATCGCACTCGCCCTCCCTACCCTTCATCTCTGCTGAGGATCAGACAGGGTTCAGGAGTGGGAGGTCCTGTCTGTCTCTGCTCTCTCCTGGGCTGGCCCCTGCTCTGTGGAACCTCCTCCACCTCCTTGTTTATTACTGTCACCCACACTCCTAGGGACAGGGCGGACATGGGGGGGGGGCTGGGGCGCCTCACCTGAGACCACCAGCTTCAGGGGGTCACTGGGCTGTGACAGCAGGTAGGGGGAGGTGCTGCGTGAGCCATAGCACCTGTAGGTCCCCTGGTGGCCTGAGGTCACAGGACTGAGGGTGAAGGTGGCCTGAGAGGGTGCAGACGTGTCCTGCGGATGGAGGTGCTGGGGAGGGTCCAGTGACCCCTCCCTGTGCAGGTGGAAGGTGTCAAACCAGATCTCAGAGCCACACTGCAGGGTCACGGTTGCTCCCCAGGCCACTGAGGGTCCCGGCTGCGCTGAGAGGAAGGGTTCCATGTACATTCCTGGGGAGAGGAAAGTTGTGATGTATAGAGAGCCACCCCTCCCCTCACTTCCTTGACCCTGAGCTGAGGGACCTTGTCCTTCTCCAGAGACTCTGTCTGTGACTCCTCCCAGCTCCTCTCTGCCCTCTTGGTGAGGAAACTAGCCTTGTTGCTGGACTCCTGTGGGATTCTCATATCCCAGGGCTCAGAGCCCCTCTCTTCATACAGAACGTAGGCACTAGCCTACAGAGACCCCTGACTCCAGATGGTCATGGGCTCCCCTTGGTGATGATGGGGCCTGAGTCAGCCTAGATGGAGAGTTTGGGGATGATTCCAGGGAAGAAATCAGACCTGAAAGACCTGGCAGCCTGTCTCCCCCTAATGATGTCATGAATGAGCCAGTGATGCCATTTTATGATGAGTACCTTCTGTGTGTGAGGCTCCTGCTGGGGTCTGTCACTCATCTCCTCTCACCTCATGCACCAGGGATGCTGAACTCCACTTCACTGAGGCTAGGAGAGATTAACCACGTGCCCCAAGTCACCCAGCCTGCAGGAGCAGGGCTGGGACTGGAACACAAGAGTGTGGGTTCCCGGTGCTGTCTTCACTCTGCCATCCAGGGGGACACCAACTTCTTGCTCAGGAGTCCTCCTCTGCAGGGGCCTGTCCACTTATCATCTGGAGCTGAGAGTCCATCCTCATTACCCGACCCCAGAACAACAGGGACAGGAGGGGAAGGGTATGCCATGGACTCTGAGTCTCTCCCGGGTCCATCTCCAACCTGCAGGCCCTGAAGCCCATCAGGAAGGTTAGGTTGGGCTGGGAAGGCCCTGAAACCCCTTGGGAAGGTTGGGCTGGGCTGGGAGCTCTGTGAGGCCCTAAGTCACCTCATCTCCCAGCAGCCTGTGAGCAGGATGGGACCAGGGATGAGCAGACAGAACCCCAACACTCAGAGGAGAGAAGGGACCGCCCAGCCCCATAGCAGGAGCAGCAGAGCCAGGAGCTGATCCAGGGCTCATCCACCCTGTTCCCTCCACTGAGCTGAGCCTGATCTGAGGTGTAGAACTGGGTGCCCGGTCCCTTGTCCTGCCTGTCCCTCCTTGTACAGTGTCAAGGTTGCTGAGACAGAAGGGACAGGCCCCATAACATCACGTCCTGGGGGCTTCCCTGTGAGGCCCCTCTCCCAGGAGGTCAGGGCCAGAAGTGAGAGGAAATCTAAGCTCTGGACAAGGATTCTCTCCTTTTACAGTTGGAGACACTGAGGCCCAGACAGGGGAAGGGTGTGTCCAAGTGAGAGACTTCAGAGGTTCCAAAACAGTCTCATGACTCAGCCCTTGTTCCCTATAGGGAGGTACCTATCACCTCCCCACAAAGACACAATTCCCCTCTGTGGACCCAACTCCCTGTGTCAGGGGAGGGGAAGAAAGGACCATTGCTCAGAGCTTTCTGGGATCAAGATGAAAGGCGAGAGGTTGCTGAGACAGAAGGGACAGGCCCCATAACTTCACGTCATTGGGGCTTCCCTGTGAGGCCCTTCTCCCAGGAAGTCAGAGCCAGAACTGAGAGGAAATTTAAGCTCTGGAACAGAATTCCCTCCTTTTACAGTTGGAGACACTCAGGCCCAGACAGAGGAAGGGTGTGTCCAAATGAGAGACTTCAGAGGTTCCAAAACAGTCTCATGACTCAGCCCTTGTTCCCTATAGGGAGGTGCCTACCACCTCCCCAAAAAGACTCACAATTCCCCTCTGTGGGCCCAACTCCCTGTGTCAGGGGAGGGGAAGAAGGGACCATTGCTCAGAGCTTTCTGGGATCAAGATGAAAGGCGAGGGGCAGGGTCTGCCTTCTTCCCACTTGAGCCTGACTCCCCCTCCCCCAGCCTCAGCCCCAACAATTCCCTCAGCCATGACCTCCCCACCTGCCACCTGCCTCACTTCCCTCTCTAAGGCCTGACTCCAGCTGAGGGGGTGGGGGGGGGGAGTGAATCCTCAGAGATCCTGGAGGCCTGTGGTTCCCCTGAGATCTCTCCCTGACTCCCAGTCCCCCTGGGTGACAAGCCTGTCCTTAGGTATATGGGGGTCATTAGATCTTCTGAGAGACTCAGACATCCTGGGGTGGTCTGTCTCTATCTGAGCAAAGAGGACACTGTGTGTGCAGAGCTGGGGTCCCAGAGGGTTCTGGGAAGGAGAACAGGAGAGGTGGGCGGCTGGGGCTGACCCTGGAGTTCCCACCTCACTCGGACTTCTCCTGCATATGCCAGGGGTCCCCACACTAAGACACTCCCACTGTCCACCTGAGACACCTTCTGGCAACAGAGGAGGGAGAGGGGTGAACAGGGGTAAGGCTGTGTCTAAGGGACAAATACTTTCCAAGTGACCATCTCTACAGCCACCTCACGCCCCTTTCATCCCATGATTGTTCTGAGGACTGGACCCTGAGCTGACAAGCAGAAAGACAGGGTGAGGTGGGGCCTCACCTGAGACCAGGAGTTCTAGGGCATCGCTGGGGTTTGACCACACCTGAAGGCTGTTCCTGTAACAGCCATAGCATCTGAACGTCCCCCTGTGAATCCCTCTCTAAGGCCTGACTCCAGCTGAGGGGGTGGGGGGGGGGAGTGAATCCTCAGAGATCCTGGAGGCCTGTGGTTCCCCTGAGATCTCTCCCTGACTCCCAGTCCCCCTGGGT